GAGAGTAAACTTAGGCTATAGCTTACCACCACCTCTTCCACGAGCTCGTCCTGCAAATCCTCCTCTAGATCCCCACTGCTGCTGTTGCTGATACTGTTCCTTCGACATGGCTACTTTTATTTCACACTAAAAGATAAAGAATTATGTTATTAAATCAACTCAAAAAATAAAGTTGCTCACAAGTTTTTAATATTAATCAGAATAGCCAATGCTGTTCAAATAGAAATTGGCTAATTTGGCCTTGGCTACAAGTAAGTGTACCAATTAAATCAATCATTACTACTAAGAGGAAATCACATCTGCTAATATCAGAGAAAAATATGTGAGAGATATTTTATTACTTCCTTCTACTTGCCAGGTACTAAATAATTTCTCTGATAAAAAATAGTGTTAACAAATGAGTCCACTTCAGTAAAAGCAAAACAATGGTGATGAACAACTTCAATAAGGAGTCAATGAGATGCATAAGCATGCAAACTGAAAGCCAGAGAATGCCTTGTCTAAACCTCAACTTTTTTTTCTACCAACTTCAACAAACATCTTTTCTAGGTCCAACACTGGGACTCTAGCTCTACCAACTAAGCCAGGCCTCCAACCAACTTACACATCTGTTCTAAGTACTACACAATAATTTCTTTCCCAGTCAATGGATGCTTAACTTACTTTACTAAGACCGACATTGTGGTATTTCTTTTCCATTATCTTCTTCACTGGTTCTTCTTCTTTAAAAGTAATAAAGCAGAACCCACGCCTCTTATTGGTCTTGTTGTCCATGGGGAGCTCTATTGATTCCACCTGTTACGAAAAAAATTTAGTATCCTAAGTTTACATTTTATTAACATTAATAACACAAATTTAAGTTACCAAAGGGAAAATGCATAAAGAAAATATCACATTTGGCCATTAAATGCTTCTAAAATGTCTGTTTATTCTAAACATTTTTTTTTTTTGCCTGTCTGAGGCTTGAACTTGGCCTGGGTGTATCCCCGAGCCTCTTGGTGATCAAGGCTATCACTCTACCACTTGAGCCACAGAAAGCCACAGCGCCACTTTCAGCTTTTTCTCTGTTTATTGAAGATTAGTCAAGGCCTTTGCTGCCCAGGATGGCTTCAAACCATGATCTTCAGATCTCAGCCTCTTAGCAGGTAGGATTAGAGGTGTGAGTCAGGCAGCTATTCTAAACCTTTTAAGAGGATCTTTTCTTATTCAAACATCCACTCAAAACCTTTTGAGAGGTTCTTTTCTTATTCAAACACCCACTGTGTTCACATCTAATCACAAAACAAGCTTTACCTAAGTACTGACATTTGCTATGAAAGGACCACAATCTCAGGTTGCTGTGGAGAATGAAGAGAAAAATGTCTGCATTTTGGAGCAACAGCAGTGGAGTGGGCCAAACTAAAAGTGGAAAAGCACAAACCCAACCAAAGGCACAAGATCCTATTCCATCTTAGTATGGCTATTACCATGAAGGAAAGTAGTGGCAGTCTCCATGTTATCCGCTCTTGCAAGCACTTAAGATACATTCCCAGGGCTGGGAAGGTGGCTCAGTGGTAGAGTGCTTGCCTTGCATGCATGAGGCCCTTGGTTCGATTCCTCAGCACCACATAAGTAAAAAGAAAAAAAGCCGGAAGTGGCACTGTGGCTCAAGTGGTAGAGCAAGCTTTGAGCTGAAGAGCTGAGGGACAGTGCCCAGGCCCAGAGTTCAGTCCCCACGACTGGACCCAAAAAAAAAAAAAAAAAAAAAAAAAAAAGATACATTCCCAGATTCTTATGGGTGTTATTTTAATTCCTAAATACTAACAAGTAGGAATCAAATAAAAGATTATTAAAGCTGGACCTAGGGCCCAAAACCAGAATTTACCAGCTTAACTTCTATCCACTAAATCCTACAAGGAACCTCTATCTCACTATTTCACTAAACTACAAGTCTTATTAAATCTGAACTTCAGGGCTGGGAAGGTGGCTCAGTGGTAGAGCGTTTGCCTTGCATGCCTGAGGCCCTGGGTTCGATTGTTCAGCACCACATAAGCAAAAAAAAAAAAAAAACCGGAAGTGGCACTGTGGCTCAAGTTGTAGAGCGCTAGCCTTGAGCTGAAGAGCTGAGGGACAGCGCCCAGGCCCAGAGTTCACGCCCCACGACTGGACCCAAAAAATAAAAAATAAATCTGAACTTCAGTCTGTTTAAATGAAGGTTTGCATGCTACTCTTTCCTAGTAGCCTAAACTGTATATAGTCAGAGGATTTGTCTTGATATTTCCATACAAGAATCGAGCATACTTTTAATCATATTCATCTCCTCTATTACTTTTCTTACCATCCTCTGCCCAACATCTTACACTTCATACACTGCTTTCCTGTTCTCAATGTTTCTTCCTGTATTACAGGAAATCCAATCTGGACTTCTTGAGGTTAAGAATGTTTGTGCCAGATACAAAAGGCACAGTCCTAGGTACGTGGAAAGCAGAGGCAAGAAAATCAGTTAAACCCTAGAATTCAAGGCCAGCATGAGACATAGCAAGACCCTGACTCTTATTCAAAAAAAAAAAAAAAAAGAATGTTTGACTCGTTCAACTTGGTTTAACTAGTACACTACAACACCACCTGTTACAGGTCCTTGAAAAGTAAAAAATGTTACATTTAACTTTCATAGACCTGCTCACTGTATTCTCAATATCTTTACTCCAAAACAAATCGCAAACTTAATCTGCCCTTCCTTTAAAAAGCTTTGAAAAACCAGTGACTTTGATTCCACTTAAATGTTTAATCACATTCACATCAATTTAAACTTGGGTCAAATTACAACATACCTCACCAAAGCCACCAAAGTACTCTCTTATTTTCTCTTCAGGTGTATCTGGAGAAAGGCCACCAACAAAAATTTTTTTAACGGGCTCTTTTGTTTTCATGGCTTTGGCCCTTTTAGGATCAATCACTTTCCCGTTCAATTTATGTTCTTTCTGATCCATGACCTAAAGAAATTAAGTATTTCATTTTAAATATGTATAACTTAACTAACATTCCAAAAACAACTTACGTGTAAAGTAATTATGGTTAATTAAAGACAGCTAAGTTAGGTATATGATGGGCTAGGTCAAGATTAAACTCTCATTATGTGGTGATATGAGACCAGCTAACATATGCAAGTATTTAAATCTCAAGGTCAGTAAGAGTTAGGACAGGGGAAGAACCATACAAATTTAACCATTTACAAGGAAAACATCTCTTTTCATAGATAATAACATACACAAAACCTGGTCACTTAGTTGCTACTTCCCCAGAATCAAAATATTGCTTTAATTAAAAGTTGGTTGCCTATCAAAACTTGTATCTATTAACTTGTCACTGCACATATTTTTAATTAAGCATTTAAATATCCGTTGCATATGTGTGCCCTTGGCATAACCCAGCCAAATCTGAGTATTTTTTAAATAAAGCCCAACATACAGAAAGTACTAACTAAATCTGCCCTTTCCATCATAAAATATATTGACAAAAATATACCTCTTCCTTCTTGGACTTGTAATAGGAAATAGTGTACAAATTCATTACATCAAGCTAACCATGTTTCATAATTTTATATTAGCTCATCAGAATATGTAACACACTACCTTATCTACACTCTCGGATTCTTTAAATAGCACAAAGCCAAAACCCCTTGATCGCCCTGTGATAGGATCTAACTTCAGAGTGCAGTCTACAACTTCACCAAATTTGGAAAAGTAGTCCTTCAGATCTTTCTTTGTAGTGTCCCAGCTAAGGCCTCCTATAAACATTTTCCTGTAAAGACAAAAGGCAGTATTAAAATGCTAAAAAGAAAATAAAACTTTTCCTTATTTATCTATATCAACAGCACATCTTTTCCAAAATGCAATATTACTAGGCAGAATATTTAAATGTCATTCTTCCTATTAGGCACACATCAAAAACCTGTTCCAAAAGCTTTACATCACTGCTGCTCCTAAGTACTATAATGGTGAGCAAACAGCAAAGTAGTTCTTTCAACTTGCTTTAAAAAAAGATAAATACATGTATGTCCCAAGAAAAATGCTAAATACAGTTTTTCTTAAGTACCAAAGACAGACTATAGCCTCAAATTTCCTCCACTTAATTTTTTTTTCTTTTCATATTTGTCAAATGTTCATTAAACTGGCCAAGGTCATATGCAGAAGTCAACTCCATTGATAATCAGTATTCTGTCTATACTGAAGCTCCTTTTCTAGTTTTTTTAAGTAGTTCTCCCATTAACAGAGCTATTAGAACAAAATTTTTTGTCTCCTAAGAACCCAAAATACTTAAAGACAAAAATAATCATATGTACTTGGTGATAATTACCCACTAAAGCACAATTCATGAGCTTAAGGCTTACTTACAGGAGAACCTTGGTTGGCCAGTAATAAAATATTTAAATCTGTAGTGCTATAAGTGACAGGCGGTTAAGTGGGAAACAACCAACCAAAAAAATAAATAAAAGAAACTTAAGGTTAAGTCAACATTACAGAAAAATGCCAGGATGTTCAGTCCTGGCATCAGCTCTGTGATCCTTTTTCCACCTGCTTCTTCATAATACCAAGGGGGGAAAAACTGCCTGTTTCATTTACAATTCTTGACCTGCCAGAATGTGTTATGAAATTTTTACCATGGGATATAATTGATTGCTCAAATTGAGGAGTGGGTCATGAGTAGAGATAGGAAAAACATGGCACCAACTTCCAGATGCATGAAGAAATTAAAACAAAGCTTTTCATATAAAACATCTCTATCTTGTGGGCTCAAGACAACTGCCACTACATTCTACTCTTGCAACAAGAGGCCAATTGTCCCTAGAAGTAGGGCTTTCTTCTTAGCCTCAAATATGTCAGATTAACTGAGGAATTTCTGATTTTACTATTTTACCAGATTTGTTTAACTCTAATGACAAAGGTTTTAATGCAAAAGCATTCTGTCTTATCTACATAGTGTATTTACTTAGGGTTAAGTTTCCAACTTTCAAATGTATTCTACAGCTGGGTCATTTATGTGCTTAATTTTCTGATTAAAATTTATAAGCGTTAAAGTTTTGTAATATTTATAACTGTTTTTGGTACTATACAACCCAGTGAACATAATCTAACATCCATAATTTTGTGTAGGTATTCTAAATGTTTTTTTGCCAATTCCTAAGGAATTTGAGATTTTCTCAATATGCATTTCTTTCAATAAAAAAGTCATCATCCTGTGCAACTCTTATTTACATGTACTTTATAAGTCTGTCATTTTTTAACCCAAAGGTCCAGAGTATATTGTCAACATTTGATGAAGAACATCACTTTTTAAAAAAATGATGATAAATGGTACTATAAAATAATTACTTTTTGCTTAGGTATGTATCAAGTTTCAGGAAAGATGTTTAGCTGCTATTTACTGCATCATCATTTATAATAAAATTTCCCATCAATAACAAAACTAAGTATTTCAACCTAAATGGAATAAAACTATAATAAAAACTTTATTAATGTTTTATTTTTGTGCCAGTCCTGGGGCTTGACTCAGGGTCTGGGCAATATTCCTGAGCTTTCTGGCTCAAGGCTACTGCTCTAACGCTTGGACCACAGCTGCACTTCTGGCTTATTGGTGGTTAAATGAGGTAAAAATGTTCCTGTCTGGCTTTGAACCATAATCCTCAGATCTCAGCTTCCTGAGTTGCTAGGATTACAGGTGTGAGCTTCCAGCACCCAGCTAAAAGCCCTATTTTTAGAAAACAAACTCGAATGACAAGAAATTGTTTTTGATTGTTCATCAAATATTAAAAGAGAATTTGTTTTGATTTTATGAACATGTAACACTGGGAAGTATACTTAAAATTAGTAAACAAAAAACAAAGAAATATAAACACCTAGAATAAGGTGTATTTAATTATATTTTTATCTATTTTTGAGATAGGAAGTTAATCTTAAATATTTGAAATGTTTGATCTGTATACCAATTAAGCTACTGACTCAATATTCTCTAAAAACAACTTCCCATCATCATTAGTCAGTTAAAATTTAGCCTGCCTTATAGCTAAAAGGGGTAACTGAAGATATATCTTTCCTCAACAAACCTCATTTTCCCGGGAATATCATTTCCTCTGATCAACTATAATTTCTACATATTCCATACAATAATACTGAGCTGGGCTCAGTAGCTCACACATTAACTCCTACTACTCAGAAGGCAAATATTAGGATGGAGGTTCAAAGGCTATTAGGATCCCGAAACAAAAAAGTTGGGTGAGGTTGATTCTGCCTGTCACCCCAGTACCCCAGTATAGAGTATCAAAGTCAAGGACAGCTCAAGCAGAAAGACACATTATCTGAAAAGGCAAAAAGTGCTAAAGCGAGGAAGAATGGCTCAAGTGGTCAAGCAACTGCCTAGCAAGTGCAACGAAGTTCAAGCCTCAGTACCACACATACATGCACATAAGCAACAACAACAAAAAAACTATCCAGTACCTTTATTTAATAAGACAAGTAGTCCACCTTTAAGTATAGCCTACCTTCTCTAATCCCTCATTGTATTTTACATACTTTCCTACAAAATATCACACCTATCTTAATCAAATACCCTATTAAATTTTGTACTGAAAGTAGACAACTCTAAACTTTTCAATTTGACATCGAGTACAAATAGTTGCTAAGCTACAACTTAAAAAAAAACGCTCTTCTTTGAAACACGTATTGGCAACACAAAAGCACTAACTTTTTCTTCTGCTCTTAGAAAGGATAACCAGAAAAACAAATACACAACGAAAACATCAATTCTCCATCTTTACAAGACATTATCAAATCTACTCCATTTTTATTTAGTACTCACAGCAAGCTCTAAAAGCATAAAGTCTTTATCTTACTTATGGATAAACTGGATACTATCTTAAAGTGCAATACCAACTGTCAGTCCACACTAACTATGGTGCATTGAAGGCTAATTTTACTGAGTAAATAAAACTTGTGAGAAGTACTAAGTCGCCAAGTAGCAACAAAAATAGTCTATATAGTAGCTAAATTTAAATAATCTGATGATCTTTAATGGGCTGGGAAGGTAGCTCAGTGGTAGAATGCTTGACTTGCATGCATGAGGCCCTGGGTTTGATTCCTCAGCACCATATAAGCAGAAAATCCCAGAAGTGGCACTATGGCTCAAGTGGTAGAGCTCTAGCCTTGAACTGAAGAGCTGAGGAATAGTGCCCAGGACCAGAGTTCAGGCCCCACGACATACACACATAAAATTTGATCTTTAAAAGAAATAAAAGCCAGGGCTGGGAAGGTGCCTCAGTGGTAGAGCGCTTGCCTTGCATGCCTGAGGCCCTGGGTTCGATTCCTCACCACCACATAAGAAAAAAGCCGGAAGTGGCGCTGTGGCTCAAGTGGTAGGGCACTAGCCTTGAGCTGAAGAGCTGAGGGACAGTGCTCAGGCCCAGAGTTCAGGCCCCACAACCGGACCAAAAACAAAAACAAAAAAAAAAAGAAAGAAATAAAAGCCAAGTACTGGTGGCTCCCACCTGTAGTGTACTGTAGCTACTCAGGAAGCTGAGATCTGAGGATCATAATTCAAAGCCAGCCTGGACAGGAAAGTCTGTGTGACTATTATCTTCAATTAACCACCACAAAAAAAAAAAAAAAAAAACTGGAATGGGAAGCTGTGGCTCAAGTGGCAAGAGTGCTAGTCTTGAGCAAAAAAGCTCAGGGACAGTGCTCAGGCACTGAGTTTAAGCCACAGAACAGGCACCAGACCAAAAAAAAAAAAGGACTTCATGCCCAGTATTTACTAACAAAGTTTACTTAGCATCTTAATCCTACTTGTGTGAGCTACATATTTCAGTACTTGGAAGACAATGCCTTATTCCTATTTAAAATACCTACTCAACAACAGAAGTCTGTTTCCACAACCACTGATATTTCACCAATGTAAAGTCAATGACCAGTAGAGTTACTCAAGTGTATCATTCTATTCAAATGCTACGCAGAACATTAGGTTGCTTTATAGGATACCTTTTAGTAAGACCATCTAAAAGCAGGAAAAGTTCACTGGTAAGAGTAAAGAAATTTTAAAGACTATTCAATCAAGAATTTTGCAATTAGGATTAGAGTGGGTTAATACACCAGAGTCTGATTGATGTATTGTTCCCAATGTATTAATTGCTCCATGAAAGTTAGTACTTTGTAGAAGCAAAATGTAAACATAGCAAAACAACTTTTTCATTTACTCAAACTTTATTTTTCCTTCATAGGCTTCATTAACTCTCCAAGACTAAAGGGAAAAGCACACTTTTATATAAACAGGTTTTAGTGTTATTTTCAATACTAAAGTCTTAAAATATTGTGGAAAAATGTAAAATCCAATGCTTAAATACCTGCAGAGTGGAAATTAGGTCTTTTGTTTAAATTTAAGGGTCTTTGGATGTAGCTTCCAAAATTATACAGCTGTATTCACATGGGTCACTTTTTGAGAAAATAATTTAATAACCAAAAGCCAGTACTTATGAGGTAGCGGCTGGCTGGGGGAAAGTGTTCCAATAATCCTGTTCCCTCTCCCCCCCCCCCCCCCCCCCAATAACGTAAGATGGTTCTCTGGACTACTACTCAGTTCTACAGTTTTAACACTAGTATGTCAACAATAAATGCTTTAAAGAAAGATACTTTCCTAAGTGTCATATTGAGGATATACCTCAAATGATAAGCGTGCTACCTAGGAAGCACAAGGACAAATTCTAATACCAGTAACTTTCCTTAACAAATCCCACTTTCCTTCACTGAGACCTC